CTCAAATGGTCGGCATCATTAGGAATATGATTCCATTAAACACGGCAGCGTGGTGTTCTGTCTCGGAAGATATGTGGATGCTATTATAAATTGTTACTCGTCATATTAAAACAATTTTGTCCATCCATAAGAAACATTCGGTGGCAGGCACCGTCGTAGGCACTTTTTAAAGCTGACTTCAACATAGGTTTCCATTCCAAGGTCTTCTACCCAAATTAATATGTCCAGGAAGGTCTAATCACATTCAAAAACATGAATGTGAACCTAGGCCGCACGAAATCACGAATTTGATGGCCCAATGACTCATGTGCGAAAAAAAGGAAGGCAAGATCTAAATTAGGGCCTACTGGGCCGGCGTCATGTACACCGAATTTACAGGTTCGCTCATTGCAGGCAGCTGCAGACCTTCCGCCACTAGGCCTCGGAAAAAAGAAAGGAACTCAACCAAACCTTCATGCGAAGCCTTACTCATGGCGTAAAAAAAGGGAATGCGGAACTTCGATATTCGAATGGCCCAGGCTCCACGTCCTCTGCACCGACCTCAAATTCCCGCATTGCAGGCAGCTGCGGACCATCCGCCACTGGACCTGTAAATCACCTACCTGAAGTCGAATGTAGCAGGCATTTTAGCAACCTGGGAAGAAAAAATGGGCGATTTGAATCGTGCATGACCCAGGCTCGAGTCGACCGAGCGTCCTCTGCACGGAATTCTCAATTCCGGCATATTGCATGCAGACGCGGACCATCCGCCATTGGGCCTGTAGAGGCAATGAAATGAACTTGAACACGATTCAAAAGGGTTACTTGCCGCGTAAAAAACACCTTGAATGGCCCAGGCCTGAGTTGAACGAGCATCTCCGCATACATGTGTCACAGATGGTACACGTTGTCTGTTGGCAAATGCGAACCTCCTCCACCGGACCTATGTATCAAATGGAGGTGAATTCCCTTGTTTAAAACATTGAACCAGATGCCCTTCTCAGGAGTCAGTCGGCTGGATTCTTGAATTCCGCATATGTATGTGGACCTTCCATGCCCTTCACTTTGGCGAAATAAAATCCGACTAGAAGCAAAGAAAGACAGAAAGAAAGAAAAGCTGAAGGTGTTCAATAACGGCCCAGGCTCGGGTCGAACGAGCGGCTTCTACATGACATGGCTTGCGGTCCCAACACGTAGCGCAGACGCGGCCCATCATCCGCCACTGGGGCTGTAAGACAATAAAAGTGAGCGTGGATAAACCACAGATATCGGTCAAAAACGAGTACAAGTCTCCAGGCCTGTTCCGCGACTCGAGTCGCGGAACGCGCCGAATCAGGATTTGGAGGCATGCATAGCATCCAGCGAGATGCGCAATGTCAATCTCCTTCACGAGAAAGTGACTTGGATCTCGACCCAGCAAGTACATAGAGCCGCTGTTTTTGAAGCATCGACTGAAATTTGAAAGGCGCATTGTGAACAAAAGGAAAGTAGGCAGATATGGGTCAAAACCATGTAGCTGCTTGTCTCGGGAACAGTGGAAAGGTGGAATTCGGAGTTAAGCGCCTCGGAGCATCTCGGAACAGCCACAAAAATGATGCGGGTCTTCCGTATCTCTCGCAAAAAAAAAAAAAAATGAAAGACAAAATGAAAGCGGTAAACGGGTGATTCTGCATTCCGCGAATACATACTGTATTTGTAAACATGTAGACTAGGCCTGAAGGACAATTACAGACTAAGTCGGTACCACGTCTCCCATGAGTGAGGCGGAGGGGGATTCGCGGTGCTCGGAGAAGACCGCGATGGGCCCGCAGTGGGTGGTGCACGACACGGCGGAGGAAGCGCAGAGAAGGTACGCAGGCATGGCCCCCACCCGCACCGCCACCTTCTCCTTCAGCCCCCATGCAGTATGCCCCGGGCTGCGCTGCACCAGGCAATATACATACTTGAGGAAGCCCGTAAGTGCCGGGCAAAGGTATCTCGTCATCGCTGGGAGACCGCGCGGGATTCGCGGAAGACAGTGAAGAGCGCGGTCCGTGGGAGGAGAAGCGTGCGGTGCGTGCGGAAGGGGATCGAGCGCTGCTCGCGAAGGGCGCGGCGGGGCGGTGGCAGCTGGGCGCGCGGACGCGGCGAGGGGCGCAGAAGTGTGCTGGGTGCGTGACGCGGCGGGGGCGGAAGGGACGTGCGTGGGGGGTGCGCTGCGAGATCGCGCGGGATTCCCGGAAGACGGTTCGAGCGCGGTCCGTGGGCGGAGAAGCGTGTGGTGCGTGCGGAAGGGGATCGAACGCTGCTCGCGAAGGGCGTGGCGGGGCGGTGGCAGCTTGGGCGCGCGGACGCGGCGAAGTGTGCTGGGTGCGCTCCGCACCGGCTCGGGCATACAGTGCCGCAGCGGGCGAGTACGGCAAAAAGCGCTGTGCGCGCGAACCGAGGGCAGGGCGCGCCACATACACCTCCTCGTCCACCCGCGACGCGGAGGGAGATCGAACGTTGTTCACGGGAGAGGACGACCGAAGGCCGTTCGACATCCGAGCACGCAGGCGAGCAGCGTGTGATCGCACGAGAGGGGGACGGATGTACCTCCGAGCAGGAGGTACCGACGCGTGGCGCAGGCATGCACCCTCGAGACTCGATTCTGGCACGGGCGATCGTTTCGTTCAGGAGTCGGGTGTATGCAGAGCTATGACTACATACGAGATACCTGGGGGAGCGGCACACTCAGAAGGAGAAGCGGGATACGGATGCGGGAAGCTTACGAGATCATGCGTTGTGCCGGCCCCAGCATTGTCGAGTCCGTAAAATCGCGCCCGAGCGCGAGCTGCACGCCTGGAAGGGGTCCGCGTCCGGCGATGTACCCTCACCAGCGTGAGTGTGCGGTGTCGCAGCGCGTGTGAGCGCGGGGCACGCCGGCAGGCATCGAAGCACTGGCGCGGGCGATCGTGGTGCACCAGGACGTGGGTGAATGACGAGCGGCGCTAACATGTACCTCGGGCACATACTGGTGCAGCGCGCGGGCGGGGTACGCAAGGATGTTCGTGGGTGGGTGGTGTACCGGAGGAGCCGCAGCATGTAGTATCGCAGCGGGGTGCGCAGGGCTCCCTGCCGGCAAGACACGCCTCCTTCTGGCGCGCGCGATCGTGGCGCGCTGGGAGGCGAAGTGGATGACGAGCGGCACGCGCGAGCGGAGTACGCAGGGCTGCCTGCCGTCGAGACGCGTTCTGGCGCGGGTATGCGTGGCGAGTGGGTGACGACGCCCGAGCACGCGAGCGGCGTGAGATAACGTACGCGAAAGTGTAGTGTCGCAGTGTGCGAGTGGGAGGGTGAGACACGATTCTGCTATGGGCAATGCTGGCGCGCCGGGAGTGGATGACGAAGTTCGTGTGATCGCGGCGTGTGATGGCGCGGTGCGGGGTACTTGGCGTGTAGTGTCGAGAGGGAGGGTACGCAGGGCACAAATCCTACGTGTGAAATGGTGGCGCATTGGCAATCGTAGAGCGGGTCGCGGTAAAAGCTTAAACGCGACAGATGTACCGGCGCGCGGGGTGTACCCACGAACGGCGCAAGGGCCCGGTTGGTGGAGGACGTGGATGGGCAAGCTGCCACGCGTAGGTGCCCGTCCACGTCGTCCTATCTAGTCGCGATTCGTGCGCAGTGCCACCACGGATACTGAGCGGGGGTGTCTGCGCTGGCACGTCGCCGAAAGCGGCACGTGTAGAAATTCTATTCTTCCAGCATTTGTCGTCGCCGTAGTGCGCCAGGTGGCCCGTAAATACGAGGGTTCTTTGTTTAGTCGCTATGTCTTCGCCGCCGCGATGCAGTGTGGACCCAGGATGCCGAGCGCAGGTTTGGGGTGGCCGGCGCGACGAGTGTGAGCGGTGGATAGACGATGAGCGCGCGAGCCACACCACGAATGGACGTCTACGTGGCAGGGGCGGGCTGAGTGTGCTATCCCATGTGACAGTACTGGGGCCGCAGCTTCACGCGACGTCTCTACACATACGGTTGGACTGGCACGGAACGGCCTGTATGTACCGCGAGACCAGTTAGTCAGTCAACCCCAGAATGAAACGCGGTGCGTAAAAGATGGCTTACGGGTCAAGCTCAAGAGCTACATAGATATATTCGGCGTCTTCCACGACAGGACGTCTATCTAGTATCGAGCGGACGTGGAACTGCGGACGGGGACACAAAGATGATTGGAAAGAGGGGGAGCTGTCCCGAGTCCGGGATACGCAAGGGAAGAGATTGAGACAATGAGCAGGTGTGAAAAAGACTCCAGCGTTCACAGCTCAGTAAATTCAAGGGAACGCGAGGTGGTGGTTTTGAGTCACACCGGTAACGCGTGATGCGCCATCACCGCACCGCCACCACGAGAGCAAGGATCAAGTTCAAATTTTCGGCTGCCGGGTTGTAGCAGAAGCGGGCCCTCCGCCACTGGCCCTGTAACGCAATAAATGGACAGCACTCGGCAATTACCCACCGCAAAATTAATATTAAAAAACCGGATAACCTGCATATAGCCCAGGCTCGATTCGAACGAGCGGTATCTGCGTTAAACAAGGGTTTTCTTACCACCTGATGCAGATGCGGCCATCCGCCACAGGGCCTGCAAACAAATAAGATGAACTCTGTGAATTGCTTGGGACGCACCGTAACAGCGCTCATTGGGCAAAATAAATTATTTGACCCGGTAAAATATATAGCTGGGTTCGGCGTCTCGCTATGACTCCAACGTGAGGACGTGGCCTTTAGAATCATAAAAGTAAACTGGAATAAAGAAGGCATTTTTGGCACTTACTGCCGCGAAGTAAAAACAAATAATGCAATCAGCAGTCATGAGGATCATATGGCCTAGGCTCGAGTCGAACGAGCATTCTCTGCACCGATGCTACAAACACTCCGGATTGCATGCAGATGCGGACCATCCGCCACTGAGCCTGTGAACGAACTACTTGAAGTTGAATAAACAATCATTTCAGTGACCTTGGAACAACTTGGAAAGAAAAAAGCGGAGTAGAGCTACCAGATGGCCCAGGCTCGAGTCGAACGAGCATCCTCTGCATTACATCTAAGCGAGCACTTTTTAATTCGTGCAGACGCGGACCATCCGCTACTGGACCTGTAACACAATAAAAATGAGCTTGGATAAACTCCGAATTCTTTTGGGCCTCGCTGTACGCCTTTCAACAGCGTCCATTGGGCAAAAGAATTGGACCAGGTGAAAAATACCGCGTCTCGCTATGAGTCCGACGTGCAGACGCGACCTCTAGAATTATAAAAGTGGACTCGAGCAAACCACGATTCGAAGGCTTACTTGGCGCGTAAAAAACTGCATGGGGGAGTTCAAATGGCCCAGGCTCGAGTCGAACGAGCACCTTCTGTGTCACCTCCTTCCTGTTCCTCATGTTGTGCAGACGCGGACCATCCGCCACTGGGCATGTACGACAATAAAAATGAGCTTGCATACTCCCAATTCCGTGAGCCTCACCATGCACCCTTCAGCAGCGCTCATTGGGCAAAAGATATTTATCGGACCGGGTAAATTATATTATGCCACCGGCTCCGTCGCACTATGATTCCAATGTGCAGTGACTGCAGTCTGAACTCTAGGATTGAACTTGAACAAACCACGACTCGACCGGCACGGAAAAAGAAATGAGAGTGGAAGGCTCAATGGCCCAGGCTCGATTCTCTTCTACATGGGAGATTGCCAGGATCCCAAACTCGATCTTGGCAGATGCGGTCCATCCGCCGCTGGTCCTGTAATGCGATACCAATGAGCTTCGACATCACAGAATAAACAGTGAATTCTCTTGTTTAATCCTCACCATACGCCTTCGAGTTGAACCAGATGCCCTTCTCAAATCGGATACGTGGACCCTTAACGGCCTTCAAGCTCAAATAAAACCAGATAGATTCCGGAGGAAAGGAATCTGAAGGCACAAATATGAGTCGCTTCAACAGCGCCAAAGGAATAAATTGCACCTGGCAGAATATATTATACCGCAGGCTCGGCGTCTCATCATGACACCGACATGCGGACGTAGGATCATACATCGGAGCTCTAGGAAAATAAAAGTGAGCGTGCATAAAGCACAGACGTGAACTTGGCTTACCGCCCAAAACAATTGCAAAAGGGCTATCTATGGCCCAGGCTCGAGTCGAACAAGCAATATCTGCAAAAACATACGTTCTACATATTGCATGCAGGTGCGGACCGTCCGCCACTGGGCTATAAACCAACGATTTGAAGTTGAATAAAGCAGGCATTATGGCCCAAGCTCGAGTCGAACTGCAACAACTTCATTGAGCCTTACGATTGCGGGCAGACGTGTAAACAACTGAAAGGTCTAGACTCGAGCCAGCGCTATTTCTTAGTATTGATGACAGTCGATCAATAGCACACTAAAATAGCGACTGGAATCAAATCCGACGTTTTAGGACAGTCGGAGTTTGCCGGCTTGATTTAAATGTCTTCTCCTAGGCCGTGCTACATTTTTTCGAAATCGCAAAAACTGAAGAGACAGTTCTGTGGGCATCGTAATTACAAGATCTTGTATGTTCTCCGAATTTCGATACGTGAGGAATTGAGCTCATTATGACCTGTTTACGCTATTCAGGGGTTTTCTTTAAAATCTCGCCTTTCTCTCGAATACAGCCGCCACGATGGGTTACAAGAAGCACGCTCGTGACGACTCCGATTTCGACTATCGTCCTGCGCGCAAACGGCACCAGAAGGCTCGAGCAGCGTCCCCTCCACCTGTTTGGCGGGCGACATATTCGATCTCCCCAAGTCCAGTCCTCCACCAGAGAGCCCATCCTCGCCCACCTCAGACCACACAGATATGGACGACATCTCCGGTCCTCTCCAGTTGCTCTTGCGCCATTTGATGCCGGAGGTGCAGGCTGATTGGAACGTGCAGACACCCAGCAAGAGGGCGCATTCCGTCGAGCCTCTAGCATCATCTCCAATGACCGTTATGGACCCCGACCCTGTTACTCCAACCAAACCGAACCGGGGCCGTCCGGTTTTCACGCCCGTTACTCGGAAGCTGAGCGCGCGCTTGAGCAAACTGGGCAGACGCACGATCCAGACTCCCGAGATCTCGCAGGAAACCAAGACAATCATGGATCAAATCCACGAACGTCGCACCACGAAGCAGGAAGCCGCCGCCGCCGCCGCCAAACTCAAGGAGGAGGAAGAGGAGCGTGTCGCAGCTGCTGAGCGCAGGGCCATTCTCATAGAGAAAACAAAGCGGGCGCAGGAGCTGGTCCAACAAATCACTGAGAGCCAGGACGAGGACGGGTTCGGGTTCGACGACCTGAACGACTTCTTTACCTCGATGTGGGCAACTGGGAACGAAGGCGATGCACAGATCTCCGCGAAACTCAGCCGCTACGTGAGGGACCACGGTGCTGAGCATGCGCGCAACATGTTTGCGTGTTCAGCTCCCGCAAAGGAGGAGTTCATATCGGGAGAATTGGCAGAGATATTCCAGCGGGAGGGAGCGGCCATCCAGGAGGTACTGACTCGCAACTCGACGACCTCGGTGCTCGAGTTATTGAAAAGCTTCTCAATGGACCAACTGGCCGGCGAATTGCAAGCTGTTGCTCCGACACTCTGGGAGATGCTCGTGGAAATTTCTGTTCCCGCAGCCTCCACGCGCAGCGAACACCTTGACGAGCCTCATCGTGACAAGGGACTGGTAAGCCTGACCTCCATTTCTGTCTTTGTTTCCATGTCTCATGTCCGTAACAGGTCTTCACAACAATCTGCGCACTTATCAGCATTCTGCGCTCTCAAAAGGCGAATAATTACCAGCTTGTTATTGGTCTCTTTCTGCTGGGGTCTGGAGCCTCAAAACGCGAGATGGAGGTGCGTGCGCATGCGGGATTATCCATCTCGTACACCTCGATCACCCGCCATGTAGAGTCTCTTTCGGCCGAGGGGATGGAGCGGATCCGTGAACTGGTAAAGAGCTGCATGTATCAGCTCGTTTGGGACAATCTGAACATCGCCTTTCGCGTCGGCTCTGAACGCCTGAACTCCAAGAACCACTTCGACAACGGGACAACCGCCACCGTCATCCCTGTCTTGGATCCAGCTACCGGCAAAAATGCTGTGCACGGTACTTTACCCTTGGACATGAAGGAACCTCGCGAGCGCACACTCCTCGTTCTCGACTGGTCGCCTGACGATGTCCTCCCGTCACCCGAGAGCGCCGCAGCCTTGACGAAGTTGTCCTTCTGGCAATTCAAGCGTCTGGCTCTGGAAAACATCGCCGGTCTCTCAGAGCTGAGAAAGCTGCTTGAGGAGTGCCCTGGGGTGTTTCAAATCCCACTCCACGCACCCCGCAACTCGCCGCTGTGAATACGGATAGCCATTGCGAGTTTTTCGGCCTCATCGATGTCTTTGTGATAGAACTCAAATGCTTCCGCAGGTATTGTGGGCGGCCGATTGTCACGCAGAAAATCTTGCATTTTTTCGGTGTCTTGTCGGCCGTTGGCGTAAAACAGGCTCTGCTCGAAGTCCCGGGGCGCGGCCCCTTCTTTCTTCGGGTACACGACAAGATCGGCAAATGAGGCGGGCTCGTTTTGCAGTATGCGTACAGAAAGTGAGATATTCCTCTTCGCATTCGACACCTTACGAGTCCTAATATCTTTTAGGATTCGTTCTTGTCAGCTCTCCACCCGCCAAAATCTCATCAAAATTCAGTGCTTTTTGATCGTAGTTAGAACTCCGACTGACACTGACATGTTCCTTCCGAGGTTCTGCCGACTTTGCAATTTTATACGCGACCTGAGGGGAAAGTGTGTAGGGGAGGCAGATTTAAGAGCATCTCAGACTCCATTACAATCCATGTCCGCTGAGAGTCTGCGGAATTTATGTTAAACGATAAAACATTGTGACATCTGCCAAGACATTGTCTGACTAAAACTAAATTTGAAGGGTTCCGTACTTAAGCTCCCCTTTGTCGTCTTCCTTCATTATCTTGGGCTTGTGCGGGATAGTGTAGTTGTGGATATGACGCACTTTTGACCCCGTTTATATGTTTATAGAAGAATAATCCTATTCTTCAGACAGAAAAATTGGGCATGTCTACTAATCACGTCCTGGGTCAGTGGGCATTGGCCATGACTCAGATTAGAGACCAGCCTGAACAAGCCAGAGATTATATCCGCAGAATATTTCACCTGCAGGACCCGCAGAATTCCCCTCTCGGTCCACGGGGACTTCTTTTAGACGCGCTATTTATGGCCGTCACCGACAGCAAAGTTTATGGATCTGCGTTGACGCTGTGCAATAATTGTGGATAACAGGTGCCAGGGACTACTGATACATTTGGCCAATATATGAATGTGGACTGGGTACCAGCATTTCCTGCCACACATCCAGCTGGCTCAACATTGTCTCAGTGGTTTGGACACCATGATAATTAGTTCAGGGTTCAGCAATCTCCGCTTAAATGAGGACTAAGTTTGTCTTCTGCAATGGGTGAAACCTGTCAGCGATTGCACGGGTTGATTTATCATTCACCAGGTGCTGTCATGGGCCATTTCACCAGTGTGTTATTGGACAGGCACGGTTCGATGTGGTACCATGATGGAATTACGACAGGGAGTTTCTGTACACCGAATGGACAAATATCAGACTTGCAAGATCTGCCATCTTTACAAACAGGTCCAACCCCAGCAGAGATATTATGTGCAGCCCTGTATGCTCAGGATTTTTGAAGAGTGTGTTGAAAAATAACCCACATTTGGACTCGTACTGCCATGCGAAGCACTGGCCACATGCCAAGTGAACCTGTGCGCAGTTGTCAGGGAGCCCTAGACGGTACAGTATATCCTTGATGACGTCTCGCGGGAGGGTTGCAGATGCTGGCACAATGGGCAGACCGGTCGGGAGACGTGCTGCCATCTCCGAGATGTCGCGGTATTGCTGGCGAAAGTCCTTGGTTCCCCACTCGGAAATGCAGTGGGCCTCGTCGACTACGAGCTCGATAACATTGCGGGTGGATTTTTTGTTATTGCATACATGCTGGTGGAATTGCTGACTGAGTGCCATTTCAGGTCCGACGAACCCCACACGATAATTGTTATTCCCCAAATCCTGTCA